TGCTCATTGACTCGGGCAGCTAGCTCTTACTCCAGTCCAGTGTTTCTTCTGCTGTATCATCATAAACAGAGAAAAACAGACCAGCTCTTTTCGAATGTACCTTTGCCTACTTATTAACAGAAAAAGGTGTATTGGGACCATTTCCCAAGAAATTGAAACTTCTTTTACAAGCCTTTTGCGGTAGCCAAACAGTTAATAGACCTTACCACTATTGTGGAGATACAAAGATGGTCCTTGCCCTTCAGAAAATTACCATGTCGTTTGGAAGTCTTTTCGATGGGGTAAAAAAATGACATCTTCTGAGTTTTATTAATAGAATGATTGCTGCGGTAGAGAGAGAACACTGGTTTCTCCTCCACTTCATCCTCACCCTGTCTACCAGTGACTCGTGTCTTCCACGATTTCTCAGGGTTGACAGGGAAGATGTTGGGAGCAGAGCCAGGCTTGCGGAAGTATCTGTGCACAGCCGCTGGTGCTGGCACTGTGGTACTGATGTGTTCATGTCTCCGCCTGTGCTTCCCCTTCTCTCTGCAGGTATAACCGAGACTACGTGGTAGAAGGCGAACCCTACGCTGGTTATGACAGACACAATGCAGAGGTGGCAGCCTTTCACTTGGACAGGTACGTGTGTAATCACAGTGGTTTACTGGCATTGTTTCCTTTCAAAAATATCCTGGAAGAGAGGGCTAGTAGACTCACCCTCTTTCCCCTATAAAGGCTGTGACACTAATAACTTTGACTTGTTACCTACTTTGGAGAGCTGATTGACTGATTCCCTAAAATTTGTATGAGTCCCTCATAATTCAGATGGTACTAAGAATACCAAAATACATTTCTTTCCCCCCACCCATATATTTTTATTGATTTCAGAGAGGAAGGAGAGGGAGGGAGAGATAGAAACATCAATGATGACAGAGAATCATTGATTGGCTGCCTCCTGCAGGCCCCCTACTAGGGATCAAGCCTGCAATGCAGGCATGTGCCCTCACCAGGAATTGAACCGTGAATTCATTGAGATTCAGATGCTGCCTCTGGCAGTAGTTGGTTCAATCAAGAATTCTGGCCTTATGTGTCAAAAAACTTATTTGCATCGAAGGGTATGAATATTATTTGGGTATTTCTAGGAAGGACCATGGAGAAATAATTAGAAATTCAAAGATACAAATACCACAATCTTAGCTGTAGCTGGTAGAAATCAAAGAAACATCTAATGTCATGGGAAGGTTAAAATGTTTTGTTTACAATTCCATAAATTTTCACTGCTTCTTTTAAGAACTAATGGGAAAGAGTTGGGTAAATCCTACCCATCACGTGATGGTACACTAGAATTAGTCTTTCCAACACCTCATTTGTTTCCCAGTTTTCTTCATCCCCAAACCCCTCCCCGTTTCCCTATTGATGGATACCAGCAGTGCGTGAATGTCGTTTTCTCACACCCATACCAATACTTTATATTATCCAACATATCAGTTTTTGTTCATCTAATATATGTAAGGTGGTATTTTGTAACTCCCCAATTATTGGCAAAATTTAGTATTTCCTTCTTTTCATAGCATATCAGCCACTTAATTTAGATTGGAGTAGTCTTTGTACAGAAAGACTACTCCAATCTAAATTAAGTGGGTGTTAATTAAATATGATAATGTTTCCTTTTATGACTTGTGCTTTGGGAGGTCCTTCCCTACCTCAAAATCTGAAAAAAATATTCTCTAGCCAGTCACCCGACCCCTTCTGTTAACTGCCACCTCTGTAACTTTGCTCATTGGCACTAAGCTGGCCAATGGCACTAAGATAAACCCCAGGACAAATTAAATACAGATTTTTTTTTCTAACCGTCTAAAAGTAGAATTTGCTCATTGGCACTAAGCACCGTAGAGCAGGAACGTGTCAGGAGCCACGGATTGGAGAAAAAGTGGGAAATATGTTTACTCTGAATGGCCATTATCAGGCCAAAGAACCTGATAATGGCCATTCAGAGTAAACATATTTCCCACTTTTTCTCCAATCTGTGGCTCCTGACACGTTCCTGCTCTACGGTGCTGTTCCTTTGTTTCATTAGGATTTGACCACTATCTCTGGCCTCGGGAGGTTCTCTCTTTTTTATAATCTCTGCTTTTGTGGCTTTTCTAAGATTCAGTTTAGGACAAAGTCAGTCAGAAGCCCTGAACAATGACTCTTATTGCATAGCCATTTAAAAAATTTGGGGGTGATAATTTAAGATATTTGTCAAGTGTGTAGTTCTGTAATACATCATCTGTATATTGCTTTGTGTGCTCACCCTCTGAAGTCAGGCCTCTGTTCATCACCATACAGTTGACCCCTTTGACACATTTCTTCCTCCCCTCACCCCCTTTCTGTCTGGTAACCGCTGTACTACACAGCCGTTTCTAAAGGGTTTGTAATGACATGGGGAAAGGCTCCTACCATAATGATCAGTGAAAAACAGGACACACACAACTGCATATTGTGTGTATATATACACAGAGTGAATATGTGTTTATATATACTTGTAAAGGAAAATGCTCATATGCCAAAATGTCAGTTATTTCTGGATTTTGGAATTATGGGTGATCTTTATTTTCGTCATTATAAATTGTCTTTGTGTTCCAGGTCCTGTCCCTCCAACATTTCTTCAGCGAGTGTGTGTGTTTTTTTAGACAGGAAATTTCATTTAAAGAAAGAATTATTGTGCTCAACCATAAAATTCTACTTTTAGACGGTTAGAAAAAAAAAATCTGTATTTAATTTGTCCTGTGGGTTTATCTTTTTAGATTAAACCATATTATTTTCTGTCAGTGTGCTGTTTTATCCAAAGCTTGGAACCCAAGTATGGATTTAGACCCAGGTTGTTTTTTGTTTTTGTTTTTATCTTTGTTAAAATTTGTTTAAATTTTTTTATTATGAAAATTTTCTAACAAAAGTAAAATAGTATAATGAACTCATATACCCACTCCTTGGAATAAACAATAGTTTACATTTTTCCAGATTTGCCTTATCATTTTTGCTGAAGTGTATATTAAAATAAGTTACATATATCTTAATATTAAACTGATAAACATATGCACCTCTAAAAAATATTTATACCTGTCAACAATTCCTGTATATACCTAACATAAATAACCATAATTTTTTTAAGACTGCTGTTTAAATTGTATCCCCAAAGATTTTTCTCTTCTGTTCTTCATCCCTCCAAACCAGGATTCTGGGTTTTCGCCGAGCCCCGTTGGTGGTCGGCAGATTTGTTAATCTTCGGACAGAGATCAAGCCTGTGGCCACAGAGCAGCTCTTGAGCACCTTCCTAACTGTAGGTAAGAAGATAAAAAGAACTTTGAGATGGTAAAACAGTTATTAAGTTAATTGGGGGTCATTGAGCAAGCTGGTTGGTGACTTTCAGGAATGGAAGAACTGAAGGGAATACAGAAGCAAGCCAGGCAACTTGCTCTTGAATTACTGGGGGAAATGGATCTAAAGGTAGATGGCAGGAAACAAGGTTTTTTCTAACGTGTACTTTGTTGTGTCTGTGAAGTAGGAAGTGAGATCATTTACTGATAATGTAAGTAGCTGGTAACAATTTCCTTCTGCTTGCTCTTAGCTAGACCACATACTCAATTTTTGGCCTAAATGTCTTATTGTCTGTGTAATGTTGGCTGGGTAGTTTTTTTCATATACATGTACTTTCTTGGGATCTGTCTCCTTAGAATTGAGGAATCCTTAAGGCAACTTTGTGAGAAGGTCCTATGTAGGATTCCCTTATAGGATTTCATTTGGCTGGAAGAGCACCACTGCCTTCTCCTCTGCAAGGGGTAACCTGTGACTCACATGCATGGGACTGGCTACAGTCCCTCTGGGCCCTGCTCCCTGGTGGTACCTCACTCTGAGCTAAAATTCTCACTCCTGTTCTTGTGGGCACAGTGAGAATTGGGGCAGTTCAGAGGTGCTGTGGTCTCTTGCCCAGCGGCTTCATGGTGACATTTTCAATGACACAGTGCTTCACATTATGACTTGAAACAGTCATTGCAAGATGAACTTAACCTTGCTTTGCTAGAATGAGTGGGTTTGCATTTAAAATGAGGTGAAACTGAATATTTAAAAGACTTGTGAGCCGAAACCGGTTTGGCTCAGCGGTAGAGCGTCGGTCTGCGGACTGAAAGGTCCCGGGTTCGACTCCGGTCTAGGGCATGTATTATACATTGGTTGTGGGCACATCCCCGGTAAGGGGTGTGCAAGAGGCAGCTGGTCGATGTTTCTCTCTCATTGACGTTTCTAGCTCTCTATCTCTCTTCCTTCCTCTCTGTAAAATATCAATAAAATATATATATTTTTAAAAAAATAAATAAATAAAAGACTTGTGATTCATCATGCAGAGTTTAAATTTACAAGGCTAGAGCTATGCTGTTCTTACAAATAACCAAAAACACACAGTGTCACTGATTTGTTTCTTATATTTTCTAAGCACTTGTGCTCGTTCAATTTTAAGCACTTTTACGCAGTTACTGTATTTGATTCTCAACAAAAAAAAACACAACGCGGTAAGTTGGGGAGGTGTAGCCGCCTGTCGTAGTTGAGAAAGAGACTGAAAAGTTAAATGTTTCCCCAAAGTCACAAAGCTACTCATTGTTATCCAGGATTCAGGCTTAGATTTTAAAACCCTAAAATATTTCATTTGCTTATGTTCTTTAATATTCATTCATTCATTAACATTTTGTTTAACTTCTGTGTGGCTAACTCTGGGCTAGATGCTGAATGTAAAAAAATGAGGGATACCTTCCTGCTTCAAGGAGCTTTGTCCAATGGGGAAGCCGGACATGTGCAGAGGGCCTTGCAGGGGAGGGCCTGAAAGTCAGGGCCAGGGCGGTGTTACTCAGTAGAAGTGCTATTGCAACCAAGTCTCAAAGGGAGAGTGGCAATCCCACAGGAGGGTTCAGTGGGAAGGAACATCCTAGGTTTGGATTCCTAACCTTTTTTGTGCTAACGACTCCTTGGGAAGTCTAGAGAAGCTTATGAATCCTTTCCTACAATAATGTTTTTTAAAATAAATAAATAGAAGCACAGACTTGCAAATGAAACCAATAATGTTAAGGTGAAACTGAATATTTAAAAGACTGTAAAAAAAATTACAAATAGCAAATTTGTGACAGTCACCTGTGCCTTGTTATTTAACATATTAAATAACAAGAGCTAACAGATCTAGTAACTACTGTAATTTGAGACTACAAATGATACCTTGTAGTATTTGCAACAACAATGCTGCTACGTTATGAAAACTGATTTCTTCTAGTGAAAAAGTCACAGATAATGGCAATACTTTTATAGTTTGCTTCCTACCATAATAATTTAAGGAAATGCTAAGTTTCAAATAGAAAATTAATGAAAATAAAACTGTGATTTTGTTCCCATCCAGTTCCTGGGTGGAAGACAGAGCACACAGGGTGTTGAGAAAAGCATGGCAGCTCAGGAGACTGTGATTTAGCTAAGTTAAGGTTCTGTGTGGGGTTAGAGACTGAGCAAGGCAGGTGGTCAGGACAGTGTCACCAGAGGGCCCTGTGCACCAACCTACAATTCGAGACTTTCTTCTTAAGCACTGGGGGCTCTTGGAGTGAATTCATATGCAGTAAGTCAGAAGTAACTCATATGCAGTAATTCAGAGTATTTGATACTCTAGAATGGGAAGAATTGGTGGACATATTAAAATAAACAGTTCATAAGTTTTAAACTGTGCACCATTCTGAATAGTGTCATGAAATCTTACCTTTCTGCTCGGCATCCTGGGACGTGCGAATCCTCCCCTGGTCCAGGGTATCCACCCTGTATACGCTTCCCACCCACCTGTGCATGTCATCTCCCTCCTCTGAGTGCTCTGGCAAAACAGAAGAGGACAATCCTTCCCTTTCCTTCCCTTTCCTTAAAGTGAGTTCAGAAAGACACTGTGGCGGTTGTGGGTTCCTGGAGAGTGATTGGGTAGGAGGGACATGGAGAAAGGGAGACTTACTTTTCCCTATATATCCTTTAGTACCTTTTGATTTTTTTTTTATACCTTGTGTTTTGATTACCTATACTGTTTAAATGTAAGTTCAGGATCTTGGTTTTCACAGTATCTGCTTACCTACCTGCTCTCTTCATTGTTTAGGGAGAATTTGGAATCTTCCTTTTTCCCCCCTTAAGTATGTTTGGTTCCTTTCTCTCCTTTAGGAAATAATACTTGTTTCTATGGGAAGTGTTATTACTGCCGAGAAACAGAGCCAGCTTGTGCCGACGGAGACACGATGGAGGGATCTGTCACCCTCTGGCTTCCAGATGTGTGGCCTCTGCAGAAACACCGACATCCCTGGGGCAGGACTTATCGAGAAGGCAAACTGGCCAGGTAAATGCTCCTGTGAGTCTACTGTTCCTCTCCTGTGCCTGGCCCAGGGCCGCCCAAATGCAACCAGGGGTTCTGTCCAAGACTAAAGAGAATGGTGGAGGGTCCGGGGCAAACCTGCTAGGCAGAGACTTCACCTTCTCGGTGTTGAGACAATGCAGGCACAATGTCGGCTCTCGGTAAATAACCCTGGTGCTGCTGCTTGCCTCCAGGTGGGAGTACGATGAGAGCTACTGTGACGCAGTGAAGAAGACATCCCCTTATGACTCCGGCCCTCGTCTCTTGGATATCATTGACACGGCTGTCTTTGATTATCTGATCGGCAATGCTGACCGCCATCACTATGAGAGTTTTCAAGATGATGAGGGGGCCAGTATGCTCATCCTTCTTGATAATGCCAAAAGGTAGGACCACAGGACTGCCTTGTCAGGGGGCGGTTCTAAAACTCCAGAGCACACCTGACGGAAGGCATCTTTCCTGTTTCCGCTTGGGGTCTTCTCTGTTGGTGATCCCATTCTTCTGTCTTGTTCAGGCTTGCACTCCTTCCACCCGCAGGGATCTGAGAACGTTAAAAATGGAAGAGGGGTTTTTTCCCAGGAGTCAAAGATTGATTTGTTCACAGACAGCTGGAAACCAAGGCCTTTGATTTGCCACCACTCACATTTCTTTCTTAACGATGATATTTAGAATCTTGAGAAATACATAATAGAACATGAAATCTGATTACTGTTCAACTTATTTTACCCAAAGGTTCATGCCGTTTAAAAGATTTTTTTTTGGCCGAAACCGGTTTGGCTCAATGGATAGAGCATCGGTCTGCGGGCTGAAGGATCCCAGGTTCGATTCCGGTCAAGGGCATGTACATTGGTTGCGGGCACATCCCCAGTAGGGGGTGTGCAAGAGGCAGCTGGTCGATGTTTCTCTCTCATCGACGTTTCTAGCTCTCTATCTCTCTCCCTTCCTCTCTGTAAAAAATCAATAAAATGTATTTAAAAAAAAAAAAAAAAGATTTTTTTTTTTGGCCGAAACCGGTTTGGCTCAATGGATAGAGCATCGGTCTGCGGGCTGAAGGATCCCAGGTTCGATTCCGGTCAAGGGCATGTACATTGGTTGCGGGTATATCCCCGGTAGGGGGTGTGCAGGAGGCAGCTGGTCATTGTGTCTCTTTCATCGATGTTTCTAGCTCTCTATCCCTCTCCCTTCCTCTCTGTAAAAAATTAATAAAATATATTTTTAAAAAATAAATAAAAGATTAATTTTTTTGATAGGCTGCTTTGCTATTTTTGTAGAAGTGTTTGCCCAAACTTTTCACTATCATGAGAGGAAGAGGAATTGCTTAGTGATTATATATAAAGACAACTTACTTTTATTTTCAATAAGATTATTTTACTATTTTTGAATCAATGTCCTTATTTTTTGAAGTCTGGGCTCTTTGAAGAACACATTGTATTTTCAGTTTACACTCTACATTCTCCATGATGCCCAGTTCAGTACCTCACTTTTGTTACACTTAATAGAATACTTTTGTTTTGGAGCCCAGAGTTGTCCAGGTCACTACTGTTAACATTGGTTGCTGAGAGTAAGCTGAGACATGGATCCTCAGCAAACAATACTTGGGCAGCATTTGCTAATGATGCCAGCATCTGACACCGAGCACAGGCACCTCGTGCTCTGTGAAAGGTGATGACAGTAGAAAGTGAGAGGCCAGCAAACACCGCCCTCTTCCCCACCCTCCCACCCCACCCCTTGCCAGCAGAGCAGGCAGTAGTCAGTACTACATACATTCTGGAAAATTTTTTATCCTTGTAAAAATAATCCTTTTTTAAAGATCACATGAACTATGAAATATACATTGAAATAGTTGCCTTTGCCATTTATTATTTGAGGGCCTGCATCGTGCTTTGGGTTACCAGACCCTTTGGTTATTGCGAGGAGCTTTCAGGAAGAGTAGGAGGTTAATAGTTTTTCTAGAATCGGTTCTCTCCTCCCTCTCTCTCTCTCTCTCTTCCTCTCTCTCTCTCTCTCTCTCTTCCTCTCTCTCACCCCTAATCTAGCAATCTGTGTACTTGAGTTCTGGCGAGAAAAGAATTCAGAGCAAGACCCAAATTGCAAGAGGACATTTACTGGATAAAATACAGAGGTAGGAAAAGTAATTCCTAGAAGGAATGGGCTTAGGAAACAAGTGATGGCGATAAGGGAAAGGCGCAGGAGGGTGTGCTCCTGGGAAAGAGAGCACCAGTCCTCCTTATCTTACTCTGAATTCCTGCACAGATCGTTTTACATCTGCTTTGAACTGACTTTTCTCAGCCTCTGCGAGTAGTTTTTGCATTCTGAATCTGTTCATATACTTGCAGGAAATAGGATAATTCAAGCTTTTTCTGGTTGGTAATTTTGGAGGAGAACAGCATAACTTGTTTCTACAAGTAATGACCATCTGCTTGTTGGCGGGATACCTGGTATGAATAGCCTGTATTATCCACCCACACTTAAAACTTGTTCAGGCTTAGAGATCCTCAGCTTCCTGCTCTGGTCTATGGTGCCATGGTGGTGCCTCCGCACCTGCTGTATGTTGTCAGGAGAGAGGGTTCTCGTAAATGCGTATGTTTGTTGTTCGATGCTGCAGCACACGCTGTTAGGATCTGTGTCTAATTGGTTATGCCCTGTTTGTTTTTAAGTGACTGGAGCTGTGGGAGAGCATGACGTTGTTTAGGATCACACTTGGGTTTCTTTCAGAATTTGCTCTTGCTTTGATGCTAAGAAGGGAACTGGTGCTTCTACCTAATTAACCGAATTTCATTTCATTTTCAGCTTCGGGAACCCCTCGCTGGATGAGAGAAGCATTCTTGCCCCTCTCTATCAGTGTTGCATGTAAGTAAGTGATGCACATCGAATGCCAGGTTCAGATAACAGTACAGTGTTCTTGGCCTTAAAACGTTCTAATACCTGAGCAGTGCTTTTCATGCTTTTCTAACCTAGAACCCCTTAAGGGCCTGACATGAAGGATAAAGGAAAAGTGGAGACTGGTGACCCAAAACTTAGAATTCATTTTGAGTTTTGAATGAATAAAAGTCTTCATTCTATTTAATAATATACATCCATGTTTGTTTTAATATCAGAATATAGTTCCACCCCCCAAAAAAATTTTTAGTATAATCTGTGTTCCTGGTTGCTGAATTGTGTTTATCTTATGGTTTCAAGTCCTCTCACTCACCACCACAAACATCCTGTGGGTTGCATATCTCAATTCGAAATTGCATAAACCAAAAGTAACATTTCCCAAACGTATTTAGTAACTGATGTTATTTTTGTAAAAGTCTATGCTATAGAACAAAGAAAAGGTAAATCAAGAAAATAAATTAAAAACTGGCTCTAAGAAGCTCCTGATTGCGGTACAGTTTTAAAGTGAGCACTGAGAACCAGCTGGAATCCCCACAGAGATGCAATTTCAGCAGCACCACTTCCCCCTGGTCAACTCCCGGGTCCCTGGGACCATGTGAGACTGCTCCTCCTGGCAGCTCACCTTCTCTTTTCTTTCTTTTTCTTTTTCTTTCTTTCTTTTTTTTAATATACTTTATTGATTTTTTACAGAGAGGAAGGGAGAGAGATAGTCAGAAACGTTGATGAGAGAGAATCATCGACCAGCTGCCTCTTGCA